GGTGGTGAAATTCAATTGTGCAAGAAAAGATTAAAAATAAGAAGATTTGTTATAAAAATTAGTTTAATTTTAAAAATTCTGATAATTGGAAAATATTTAAAGTGGCTCATAAGGATTTTAAGAAAGCAATATGCGATGCAAAGATATTAGCTTTTAGTGATTTATATAATAGATTAAATACTAAGGAGGGAGAAAGATATATGTATATGTTAGTCAAATAAAGAGATAGGAGTAGTAAGGATTTAGTTCAAGTGAAGTGTATTAAGGATGAAGAGTAAAAAATACTTTTCTTAGAATATGAAATTCAACAAAGGTGGATGAGATATTTTGCTAAAATTTTTAAAGAAGATTGTGAAAATAAGATTGACTATAGTGACCTTAGCACCCTAAATGATAATAAATATTTCTATTTTTATCGGCGTATTAGTAAAACTGAAGTTAGAGAGGCTTTAAAGAAAATGAAGGGTGGAAAAGCTGTTGGACCTGATGATATTCCAATAGAGGTGTGAAAATGCTTAGGAGATGAAGGGATTTCTTGGCTTATTAAACTTTTTAATACTATTTTGAAGACTAAAAAGATGCCAGATGAGTGGAGAATGAGTGTGTTAATTCTTATTTTTAAGAATAAAGGTGATGCACAAGATTATACGAATTATAGAGGTATTAAGTTAATGTGTCATACTTTAAAACTATGGGAGCGAGTTATGGAGCATAGGTTGCGGCGTGATACTAATGTTTCTCAAAATCAATTTGGAATCATGCCGGGTAGGTCGATTATGGAAGCCATACATTTATTAAAAGGTTTGATGGAGAAATATAGAGAAAATAAGGAGGATCTACTTGAAAGTTTGTTAGAGATGTTAGGCACTTATGAACTAGCCCAAGGCTAACCAAAAGGGGGAGTTTTGGACTTTAAGATAAAGGGGCATAAAATAAAAAATAAAGTAAAATAATTTTCTAGGATTAGATGGGGCATTTAAAGAATATTAACCAAAATATTTTTGTGAGTAAGATTTTAGATCTTAAGATTTTGTCTGTGCATGAGGATGCTAATATTATGTGGGAAAAAGTGGCTAGTGATATTAAGAATATTGCAAAAGATGTCCTTGGAGTATCAAAGGGAAAAGCTCCTAATAGTAAAAATAGTTGGTGGTGGAATCCTAATGTGCAAGAAAAGATAAAAAATAAGAAGCTTTGTTATAAAAATTGGTTTAATTTTAAAAATTCCGATAATTGGGAAATATATAAAGTTGCTCGTAAGGATGCTAAGAAAGCCATATGCGATGCAAAGACATTAGCTTTTAGCGATTTATATAATAGATTAAATACTAAGGAGGGAGAAAGATATATGTATAAGTTAGCCAAACAAAGAGATATGAGTAGTAAGGATTTAGTTCAAGTGAAGTGTATTAAGGATGAAGATCAAAAAATACTTTTCTTAGAAGATGATATTCAACAAAGGTGGATGAGATATTTTGCTAAACTTTTTAATGAAGATTGTGAAAATAAGATTGACTATAGTGACCTTAGCACCCTAAATGAAAATAAAGATTTCTGTTTTTATCGGCGTATTAGTAAAACTGAAGTTAGAGAGGCTTTAAATAGAATGAAGGGTGGAAAAGCTGTTGGACCTGATGATATTCCAATAGAGGTGTGGAAATGCTTAGGAGATGAAGGAATTTCATGGCTTACTAAACTTTTTAATACTATTTTGAAGACTAAGAAGATGCCAGATGAGTGGAGAATGAGTGTGTTAATTCCTATTTTTAAGAATAAAGGTGATGTTCAAGATTGTGCGAATTATAGAGGTATTAAGTTAATGTGTCATACTTTAAAACTATGGGAGCGAGTTATGGAGCATAGGTTGCGGCGTGATACTAATGTTTCTCAAAATCAATTTGGATTCATGCCGGGTAGGTCAACTATGAAAGTCATATATTTATTAAGAGGTTTGATGGAGAAATATAGAGAAAATAAGGAGGATCTACATATGATATTTATTGATTTAGAAAAAGCATATGATAAAGTTCCAAGAGAAGTGCTATGGAGAGTTCTTGAAAAGAAAGGAGTCAATATTGCTTATATTCAAATCATTAAAGATATGTATGCAGGAGCTATTACTTGTGTTCAAACACAAATTGGATTGACCAAGTATTTTCCTATTTCGGTTGGGTTACATCAAGGATCAGCCTTAAGCCCATATCTTTTTGCTTTAGTCATGGATGTTCTCACTAGACATTTGCAAGAGGATGTACCTTAGTGTATGCTTTTTGCTGATGATATTCTTCTTGTTGATAAGACTAGAGAGGGAGTTGAAGGTAAACTTGAATTATGGAGGTCAACATGAGGCTAAAGGTTTTCGTATGAGTAGATCTAAAACAGAATATATGGAGTGTAATTTTAGTAGTAATAGTCCTAGTGAAGGGATTGTGACTTTGGGCGATCAAGTCTTTAATAAGAGTACACATTTTAGATATCTTGGATCTATTATTTAGAGTGATGGTGAAATAGATGGGGATATTATCAACAGAATTCAAGTTGGATGGTTAAAGTGGAGGAATGCATCGGGCTTGTTATGTGATAGAAATTTACCCCTCAAACTTAAGGGAAAATTCTATAAGATGGTAGTGAGGTCTGCAATGCTTTATGGTGCCGAATATTGGCCATTAAAAGAGAAGCACAATACTAAGTTAAGTGTGGCAAAGATGAGGATGCTCAGGTGGATGAGTGGCTTTACCCTTAGAGATAGGATACGAAATGAGGTTATATGTGAAAAGGTTGGAGTAGCTCTAGTAGAAGATAAGATTAGAGAGAGTCGCCTTAGATGGTTTGTTCGCATAAAAGGACAGCCTTTCGATGATCCGGTTAGGAGAGTAGAGGTATTAGATTTGACTTGTGTTAAGAAATGTAGGGGTAGACCTAAAAAGACTTGGTTAGAAAATATTAGGAATGACCTTTCTTTATTAGATTTAAATGAGAATTTGACTTTTAATATGACACAATGGAGAAAAAGGATTCATGTAGCCGACCCCATGTAGTGGGATAAAGGCTTGATGTTGTTTGTTTTTGTTTTTTGTTTAGAAATTTTTATTGACTACCATTATAAAACATATGTAATTTTGACACATGCTCAATTATGTTATAAATATTTTAATTGTCATAATCTGATGAAATATGTGCTTATGTGATTGAAATGGGACTACTGGGAGATATAAGGGGTCATAATTCTTTTTAGATTATGTTTATGTTAGAGAATATTCTGATGCTTATTAGACATATTTTGGTTGTTATAAGCCATGTTCCGGTGTCTACGGGCATAAACTAATGTTACAAGTACAAAAGAGAGTTATAATGGGCTATAATCCTTTGAGATTATGTATGAGACTGATATATGTGATATAAAATTCTTTATAATATGAACTACTCTATAATATAAATTTTAGTCTATCTATCCTCTTAGTATTGTTATTTAACAACTTATTTATCTGTTCAATATTATTTTTTAAATAAATTGGATCACTCTTGTGCACTTATTATCGTTCTTAGTACAATGATTTATTAGACTACATTTAAGTTCTTTTAAATATTTCGAAAATAAATATTTAGTAAAATTAATAAAAAGGATTTGGAAATTTAAATAGTTTGTATGGCCTACTGAGTTGGTTGAGCTCATTATAGTTTTGATTATGGTTTTGATTTTCATACAATCATGATTAGTTTATTATTCAATTTTATAGTTTCTGTTTATAACCATATAATACAATGTAGATACATTTTGAAGAAATGAAAGAAATATTGTGGATGAGTTTATTTATAATATTTTGGATGTTTTTAGTTGCTTTGTAGTTTTTAGTTTATTTAAAATGAATATTGAAAGAGAATCTGAACATTTAAAAACTAGAACTTGAGATTTGTTTGTCATAGCTCAACACGATAGGACTTATCCTAATCGGGTTGGGTTTGACATAAACATTGTCAGTTAGGTGATGAAGGCCGATAGATAATAATTGGATGACAATAGTTGAGCAATGGCTGTTAGATAGTGGCAATCATTTAACAACGATGGATGGCGCTTATTATTGATGTTGAATGCTAAGTAGAGCTTTAGAGTTCTTTATATCTCCATGCTCTTTAAACTTAGGTCTCCTTTTTCATGGGGAGAATGAGGATCTTATATTACTTTTAGAGTAGATATTTGGACAACCTATATTGAATTCTTTGATTATAGATTATTTATTCAGCATTTAAGTGCTTAAATAACATCATATTTGAGTGGGCTTGGGTTTGTTGGATTTGTCTTATAGAGCCTCTCATTTTTTTTGCTGTCTCATTTGTTATTATAAGCATGCTAGATTTGAAAAATGTTTGATCCAATCAATGTCTTAAATTTTTTTACTATCTTTTATATATTTGATTTAACCTCATTTGGATTCGGATCAGATCACTTTTGATATTGTAAGATTGTCTTGCCAAAACTCTCAATTTGACTAAATTTATTGAAATTAATCTGCATATGATTACGAATTTAATTTAAAAATTTTCAATATAAAACATTACTTTAAGATTAGTGTTGATGAAAGTAAATTTATATCACGTATAAAATATACATCTATGCTTGACCACACTCATAGTAAATTTAATATCATATATAAAATACAAATCTATGCTCGATGATAATTTATTTTAAATTATAAAAAAATATCCATCATTTCGTAAAAGAGTTGTTGGAGAAAATCAAGGTCTTTCTATCTTAATCAAAATTTAATTAATATAAAATATAAAATTTAATTTTTATAAAGTAATATAATATATAAATAATTAATGGACTTCTTTATTACATTCCTCTTAAAATAAATTTTAAAATTTCTGTCATAATCAAATTTTGACCGTAAAAATTTTGTTTTTGTTTTTGTTTTTTTGTTTTTTTTCATCCAAACGCCTTAAACCTCCATTTGCAAGAAGTTACGTTATTAAAGAAATCAATCCGCTAGATCTGCGCGCGTTTAAGGCTCAAACGTCGCAATCGGATTCTGTTTCTCCCTGTATAGGCGTCAACATGCGACGGTGCGGTTCTGGCTCGCAGGAAGAACCAGGATAAAAGGAGGACTTTCAGCTTCTTCGTTCCGTTGGGATCCTTCCGTCCCTCCCCGCCGACTTCGCTCTCTGTCTTATGAAACGACGGGTGAGGTTAAGAAATGCAAACGAATCCCATAGATCCATTTCAAACCTTGAGCACTAACACTGGCCTAAACCCCAGTTTCTCCCGGCAGGTGGGGAGCAATGCATTGTCGATGGTGTTGCCACCGGCGGTGGCTACTGGAGCTACGGGCACTTCGTTGGTTCCAAATTGCAGCCCGCTCCATAGACGTGCTAGATCCGAGTTTTTTCTGCGGATCCCTGAAGACCTCGGCCTGAGCTCCGGGGATCCTATGGAGACGGGTAGCTTCGAAGAGATCGGGTCCGAGGAAGACCTTTTTTCTACTTATATCGACATTGAGAAGATCGGATGCAAGTTGGAGGGAAGCGGATCGGGGTCGGAGGACGGCGTGGGTCAAGATCGGGTGGCGGAGAGCTCAGGTGGGGACCAGGAGCCGAGGACGGGCAATGCAGGAGATGGCGAGTCTGCGGAGACCTCGAGGGCGAAGCATCGGCACAGCAACTCGTTGGACGGTTCGTCAGTTTCATCGATGGCGGCCAGGAAGGGCGAGGTAGTGTTTGGGGAGATTCTGGAGGCGAAGAAGGCCATGACGGCGGAGCAGCTAGCGGAGCTCACGGCCATTGATCCAAAGAGGGCAAGAAGGTTCGTTCAATTTGCGCATCGTTCTGTTTTGCTGGTTTCATCTAAAATATTTGCATTTTGTATCACCGGCTATCTTTGCATTATCTCATTTTGCAATATTTTTCATAGTATTTATTCCTTGATTCCATATTCTAATTTTTATTGAGGACGCTTCTTTAAATTGATTATTACTTCAGAAGGATTCTTGCCATTAAAAATTTGATCCTGACATGATTTTATCTCACTTTCTTAACAAATCTGAAATGAAATCTAGCCAACCAATATATTGTTTCAATAGCTTTGTAACTCATAGAATTTTATTGCGATATTTAGAAGCATGTGCAAGCTTTGACACAGTTTTCGTTTCGATTGTAAGGCTTTTAAAATGCTTTGTCATTGGAAAAGTAATGTAGGATGCTTAGGGTCTATTCTTTAATGTAATGTTGGATGAGATGCACCAAAAAGCATATAAAAAATCAAATTTGCACTTTTCCAACCCTTAGTTTAGTTCAAATTAGTCTCTTCTGATGCAAATAAAAACATTTAGAATTTACTTCAAATAATAATTTATAATCATTCAAATTTAAATGTTTGTAATCCAAGACTGAATCAAATCATACAACGATTAAGAATCACACCGCGAAGACCAACTTATTCTAGATTTAACCAAATCTTAATTATCCATACAAAATATAATTACAATTATATAAATACAACAACAACAATATTAAGCCTTTATCCCACTACGTGGGGCCGCTAATTTAAATTATGTAAATGAAAGAATAAAATAGATGTCACTAAAGAAGATTCAATCCTAAAATTGGTACAAGGAGAAAACATTCATTGAAAGTGGTCACCAACACTTGCACCACATTTCAATAATTTACATCCAACAACATTGGAAAAAATTGAGTGAAAAAGTGCATTTTATCAAGAAATGAATTCATTTTTATATTCCTCAAAATTTATTTATAATTATAAACTACGACATTCCCTAAAATATGAATTAAGTCAACGACCTTCAATTCTAGTGGAGGAAAGATCATTGAAATCCCACTTTGCGGCACTAACTTACACCTAATTATTCATTAACTCAAAATTACAACTTCAGGGAAATCAAGATGCAAAATCCCATAAATTAGTGGCACCAAGTTCACAACATCCTAAAGAAAATTGTGACCATGTCTGAACAACACAATTCACCATTCTAAATAGATAAGTTGAGTGACGGTCAAAATCATGGCTCAAGGGCATAATATTAGAGAAAAAAGAAATAAGGGTTTGCTTGGGATGATTCCAACTTTCTATAAAATAACATGAGCATATTACCAGAAAAACAAAGTTTTTGAAAGCTTTTGTAGGTATTAAATACTTCTATCCTCCAATAAAACTCAAATATTAACTTTTTTACAATCCCTCTCTAGGTGAAATTGTTCTGAAAAGTTCCTTATGACCTCCAAAAATTTTGAAAAACTACCATAAAGTTGTAACCAATAGAAATGAGTGCTTTGAACAAGCAATTTCAAACACACGCCAAGTCAAGGTCCACAAAACCAAAAGGCAAATAACTATCAAGTGACCCAGCATCAAACAATCTTCCACAACAATAATCATTTAAGGTTCAAAACAATAATGTACAAAGCCACGTTTTATTGAGAACTAATGTTCGAAGTATAATGAATCAACAAAGTAAACCAATGAAACAACTAAACCAAGGAATGAGAGGTTAAATGGACTCGAACCAAAATAATGAATTGAATTTAATCAATACAAACGTTGAAGACGCAACACATTCTCTGTGGTGATCATTATCATAGTCATGTTTCCACAAAAAAATAATAATAAGAAATTATTATATTTTGAACTAAAATAAAGAAAGCAAATCAAACTTTAAGATGTTCATTAGATCATTAGATTGCACTTGCACGATTTACATTTTCAGTGAGCATGGATTTTGAGATTAGTATCATTCAGCTTAGCTTGGAAAATTTTAATTTTGTTGAATTGAGCATTTGATGCTCTCACTTAAATTCAGTCATATATGTTGTGCTTATTATAAAGTAATCTATAAATCATCAAAAGTATGTATGTCATTATAATGCACATGGTGCATCTTATGCCTGGCATTAATAGCTAACGCGATTTTATCATGTAATGTTACTTTTAAAATAAATTGTATAGAATTATCTGATAAAGTTTTGGATGTAAATTATTAAGCGGAAGATGTAAAGAGATAACATTCCAAGGCGTTGATAGTACTTCAAGAAATAATGAAAAATCAAATACATTGAAGATTAAACTAATACTACAACCTCAAGAAATTTCCAACATTGTTTAGAATTGCGCAATATGAGGCTCGCCTTGAAGCCTGTCTCAGCACAATTATAGTGAAAAATGTCTCGAGGCTTAGGCCTCGAGCTTTTTAATGAGGCTTGTGCCTCATCCATGAGGTTTGTGCCTCAGCTTGGCTGAGGCTCTCCTAGCCTCGCTGGCGTAAGTTGTACACCTCACACTATAAAACATACCTAAATCCTAAATTAAACTTAAACATATTCTATATAGACACTAGAGAACTCAACATATTCTATATAGGGATGATCATTTATACATCATTTGAACTAAATAATTTAATAAAATCAGAAAACTTTAAATCAAACTGTTAAAGCAATTCGAAGTAGAAATATTGCTCAGATCATCAAATTGCTTATCTCAGCGCAGACGGTTTGGTTTCTGACGCGTGTAAACTTTTGAGATTAGCATAAAAAATCCTATTTTACAATAACATGATTTTCTTGCTGCTGTCATTTTAGGCTAGCGGTAGCTGATGTGATCCTCGATTGAAACAGATACAGAGGGTAAAAAGGATCCGCCTACTTGACTCTAAATTGAATTGCTCCTTCAAAATATTTTCACAAAAGCAACTAGAGTCATTCTAAAGCATAACTTTTCCCAGGTTCTTCAAGCATTTTATTGATATTATTTCTTCTGATTTATAGACTAATTATTCAGTGCAATATATGCACTATAAATGGCATTAGTTTTGTTTAGATCATTAATGTTCTGTTTACGCAGAAAAACTCATGTAAATTGGAAATGATTAAGATTCATAAGTATCTTCAATCCTATGTAGTTAAGCCTAGAGGGATGAGATGAGGCAGAAATATTATTTGCATTGAGAAGGGACAAATCTCATATAAATGATTTTCAGTTGTTTTAATTTTTTCAAACTCTTTTGAAATCCTGGCGACCCTTCTTGAGATACAATAGTTTTGACCATTCAAATACTGATAATGTCCTTGCTAAGTGTTTTAAGCTAAGACAGTTATTTTTGACAAAACAGTGCAATATTTCTTTCACTAGGGTTTCACATCTCCTAGAGTTTGGGAATCACAATTGCTAGGGTTTCACTTTCACATGCTTAAAAATACCTACACTCCTACACCATCCCACAAAATGCATAAACATATCATTATCAACTTACGTCACCTTAAATGACACAAGCATCCCAAAAGAAAGAATTTCTCCTTCACAAATCACAACTTAGAAACCATAACACTTGCTAAAACATGTTGTGAGCTTCGGGAAATTAACATCTCAAAATTTTATATGGAAACTTATACTAGCAAGCTATCGGCCCATCTTCTCAAAAATAAAAAAACCCGTTGTCCGATTCATGCTACTGAAGGCTGAAGCCTAAACTACCGGACTATGAGAGGAGCAATGGAGGCCTAAAAATATGCATGAAAAGAATGTCATTGCTTCCTTTGATAAAAACCTAACATCCTTCTTCTCTACGAGTGAAAACTTTAAAATTGCACATATTTTTATGCTTTAAAGAGAATTCTATCACTTATTAAAATTTGTGTTATCTTTTTTAACTTCAAATGTACCACATGCATCCACACATGCTTGTGTCACATCTTACCATATTCCTTTGTCCCAAACAAAGTTCATACTTTTGAGATGGAGCTTTTTGTTTGCAACAAATATTATTTTAGCATGGAGATATTGTGGACTAGACATTTATTTATATGATATTTACTATATGATTTGTTAAATTCAAAGAATTGGAGAAGGAAAAGGCTTCAATTTATTATATAAAATTATCCCTATTTATATATTTCTACAAGATATCATAATAAAGAAACAAATAATTACAGAATAATACATAATTGTCCTAATATAATCATTCCTAAATTCACCACATGAATATGGATGGAGATCGGCGTGATCCAGGTGAGCCTCCCACGGATCCCCATTCTGGTTGTGGGGTCAAGGGGCAAGGGATGACTGAGATTTAACAGCGTGATTTAGGTGAGCCTCCCACGGATCCTCATGCTGACCGTGGGATCAAGGGCCAAGGGATGGTTGGGATTTTAACACACCACCTCAAGCTAGGGAATACAGATATGTAGTAATTAGTCCCAGAAAAATAGAGTTATCAAATCCCTTTGTGCACCATAGAATCCTCCATTTGGTTAAAATTTTGAGAGAAATTAGCTTCAGACATTGCGGTGGCAAAATATAGCAATGAAGGCTATATTAAGTAGAACAACAATGAAGGCTGCATTGGTTATAGATAGGATTACAAACACGGGAAGGCCAGGAATGAAGGCATGACAGTAGGAAAAAATCTATTTTTAGGGTTGCGGCAAGCTTCATGAACAACAGTAGAATAATACGTCTCAAGCGGCTCAGCACTTGGCATGCAAATCTCGTCCCGCCCAATCGAGACAGCTTTCTGCCTAATGCAAATCAATCACTCGACTCCACCTGAACACTCATGTTCGATCTACCAATACAGGCGCACACAAGGCCTTTGATCCCTCTGATCTAATCACAGGAAGGAGTGTAGGTCCTGAACTATTGCTTGTCCCAGCCCTAGACCCTCACAAGAGGGAACTCTTAGCTTTTTTCCATATGCACGTAAGAGGAGGTCCTGTGCTCGACTTCTAACGCTTTTGCTCGGTTGACTTTGGATGTTGCATGCGATAGGAGCCTTCCTGCTCGATCTCTCATTGGTTTTGGACGCACGAAGGAATCATGAACAATACTCCTTAGAATTTTGATAATGGAGGCTAGTGGAGGACCAGTTTTCCTCAAAATTCCAGCAATGAAGGTAGGTGGAAAACCCAATATTCCTCAAAGTCCTACAATGAAGGTTAGTGAAAGGCCCAATATTCCTTAAATTCTGGCAATGAAGGCTCGTGGTGGGTACCTATATTTTTTTTAGAATTCTAGCAATGATGGTCGGTGGTGGGAACCTGTATTCCTCATATTTCCAGCAATGAAGGCCGATTGCTCCTCTCTACTTCTATTCAAGGCTCTGATACCATGTTAAATTCAAAGAATTGTTTATTTTATTATACAAAACTATCCCTATTTATAGATCTTTACATGATATCTTAATAAAGAAATAAATAATTATAGAATAATGCATAATTTTCCTAATATAATCCTTCCTAATCCACCTAAATATGGAAGGAGATCGGTGTGATCCAGGAGAGCCTCCCATGGATCCCCATCTTTGTCATGAGATCAAGGTGGGCACCCCATGAATCTAGGTGAGAGCCCCATGAATCCTTATGCTGGCCGTGGGATCAAGAGCCAACGGATGTTTGAGATTTTAACATGATTGAACATTTCAATTATGTACTTGTAGAAGCTATTCTATTTTGTATTTGCATGTGTATATGTTAGGAAGTGGATGAGATTTCCTCAAAATCAGCGAATGATAATAAAAAAATTAGGAAGAAGAACACACTAACCCTCAATTTACTGCAAGATATATATGAAATAAAATAACAAGATGTAATTGGATCTTTAATTGGAGAGGAAGATCCGGCTCTCACAAATCTTTGGCCGACAGTTAGAGCCCAAACACCCTAAGAACAATCTAATTTCAGCAAATAACACCTCATCCTTATCCTAGGAAAACAACATATTTAAATCATTCAATAATTTCCCAAATCCCCAAACAGCCCTCTTATCTTCCCCTCCTAGCCGCTTCTCTTCTCCTATTCAAAATTGTCTTTGGGCCCCACCCCAAGGAGCAGGCAATCATCCTAGGTGGCTCTGTTATGCCACAAACATGCAAAATGCTCCACCTCTAAAAATTCGGGCCGGTCCAGACAAGTAGAAAAACATATCCTTTCCTCAATTTTCTCATCATAACAAATGGCAAGAACATAAAGAGATCGGTCCTTACATCGGTGCCCCAATTTATACCTCTCCTCGTATTTTAAAACAAAATCCTTTCGCCTTCTTCTCCTATAACTCCATTTTTGCAAGCTTCTTGAAGCCTTCCCTAGTCCCCCCTCTTACAGTCTTCTCCTTCGGGGTCTTCCTAAGAGCTCCTTAGATGCCAAAAAGGTGGTGGTTATCCTGTACGAACCTTCTAAGTTCCTGCCTCTAGTCCCTCTCTCTAGGTGCCTATAATCCTCCACTAAGTACGTTAGCTCCATAGCCTCTCCCAAATCACAAGGCCTCATCACTCTAATTGCTGTCCGAATCTCTAGTTTGAGGTCTTTTATAAAGTTTCCCTCCAGTACAGCCTCCGGAAGTAGGTCCAGTTGGATGGCCAGGTGCTCAAATTGCTCACAGTACCCCATACTCTCCTGTTCTGCATCAAAGAGTAGAACTACTCATAGAAATTCCCTCCCCTACTGATTCAAAAACATTCCAACAAGCTGTCCTTATATTCCCTCGAAGTCCATATAGGCTGCCTCGTATCTCTCCACTGGTACTATGCTAAAGCTTTCCCCTCTAAGCACATTCGACCGCCATCAATCGCTCCTCCTCTGTCAACCTATTGATGCTAAAGTATTTTTCCATCATGTAGATCCTCTCATGTGCATCCTCTCATCTCTCTTAAAAATAGGCATCTTCAACTTCCTTTCCCTCGAATCTCTTCCATCCCCCCTATTTCCTTCATAATTCCCATTCCCCAAGGGGTTGTTCCCCCCAAGTGTGCCAATCATCTCTTCTACAGTGGTACCCAAACCTTTCATCAAAATCTTGTATTCTTCCTTCAAATTCAACACCCTTCTCCTTTCAAATTTAGCCCCCCTCCTTTCAAATTTAGCCCCTCTCCTTTCAAATTTAGCCCCTCTCCTTTCAAAGTCAGCACCCCTTCGATTATAACCAACCCCCTCCCCTTTGAAATTCAGCACCCCTCCCATCATAATCAACCCCTTTCTTTTTAAATTTAGCACCCCTTCGCTCATGACCAACTCCCTCATGCTTCTCCCCTACCTTCTACCCGACTCCTCCCTAGAAATAGGCTATAGGAGAAGCATTCTCTCTTTTCCCTCCAAAATCTCTTCCTCCTAATATTCCCTTAGCATTATCAGATTAGGGTTTTCCCTACTTCCTTGGTTGTCAGTGACTTCCATCACCTCCAACAACGTCGTGTTGGTTTGGCCCTCGAGGAACATCTTCAACATCTTCTCCAGAATGGAAAATTTTCTCTCAATCTTCTCGTGGATGGCTAAAATTTAACTTTTGAAATCTAAAACTTGAGATTTGAGATATGAAATTTTATATTTCAATTATCTAATCCCCCCTCCGACACTTTTATCTTTTTTTTTCCTGCCATGGGTATCGGGATCTAGGCTCCAACAACAAAAAAGAATAACTTTGATACGAATCTGGCCTCCAAACAACAAAAACTCTAAGATTAGAGAGGAAAACCCAGCCGAAATCAACTAGGATGACTTATATTTCAACCCAGGAAAGTGCTCTAATACCAATTTGTTAGGATGTCGATACAATTTCCTCGAAATCAGCAAATGTCAATAAGAAATTAGGAAGAAGAATGTTCCAAAACTCTTTTTAATGTCAAGATATATGAAAGAAAATAACAAGATACAATTGGATCTTCAATTGGAGAGAAAGATCTGACTCTCCTATATCTCTAGCTGGTAGCTAGAGCCCAAATGCCCTAAGAACAATATAATTTCAGCAAATAACACCTCATCCTAACCCTAAGAGAACAACATGCTAAAAGCATATAGTAAGTTCTCAAATTCCCAAATAGCCCTCCTATCTTTCCCTCCTAGTTGGCCCCCTTCTCTTATTCAAAATTGCCTTTGGGCTCACCAAGGAGCGGGCAATTAGCTCAGCTGGCTCTGTTCCGCCTCAAATAGGCGGATTGTTCTGCCTCCAAAAAGTTAGAGCTAGTCCATGAAGGATCGACTGGATCGATCTAGGAGGGATTAGGCTAACAGTACATCACAATGCTTAGATTAGATTAGTTCTAGTTCCATTCTTTGAAATTATGCATTGGATTTGTTTCATCATATATTAGTGTTACTGCAAATGATTGAAAGAAGAAAATTGATGGCTATGCTTATGCATGACATGGAAAATACAAGACATTAAATTCTCATTGAATTTGGCAATGATTTCCTATTGATCACATATTTTAGTATGGGCTTAACAAAATTGAATATGTTCTCGAGTTTTTTTAGCATGGTCAAATATGCTATATGCAACACTAGTTGAATTATGTGTGATATTAATATGACTAAAAATGGTTGTTAGTGTTTTAGAACTTCTAATAAACCTTAGATGGTATTTTTGGAATATGAAATTAAGAAAAGTGTAGAAAGGTGTTTTTAGATAAGCTTTTGCATATCTTTAAGGTTAAGAGTGAAAATAACATCATAAATAGAACATAAAAACGAATAAAATTTCACCTTCCAATCATTGTTCTAAGAACTTTCATCTTACAACTTTGTGGTATCTTATGAGATCTTTTGTTAGCATTTTTTCTTGTTATTATGGTGGAGCTTCTATAAATTATATACAATAATATCCCAATTACTCTTTTTCTCACATCTGACTGATCTCAAATTTATTAAATGATACACGCAGGATTTTAGCTAATCGACAGTCTGCGGCTCGCTCTAAAGAAAGAAAGGCACGCTATATTTCTGATCTTGAGAGGAGAGTTCAAACTCTTCAGACTGAAGCTACAACACTATCTGCGCAACTTACTTTATTCCAGGTTTGCACTGAATTGTTTTTACAAAGAAGAGGATTCTAGCTTTCTTGGCTATTGGCCATTGAACCTGCTGAGAATTTTTAATTTATGTAGCTTGTAAATCTTAGAATAAGTTGGGAACTATTAGTGAACTAATGCTTTTTGTTTTGCAATTATTGGTGAACTCCATCATCAGAATCTTCTACCTTCCATGCTCTACAATTTCATTGGAGCACTACAAAAGGAAAACAAAAGTTTGTCCAACACCTTTGCTCCCTCACCAACCCTCTTCCCCTATCCCCTTTAGATAACATTTGTTTCATTCTTTACTTTCTCAATTTTTGTTTAATTACATATAAATAATCCATCTTCTCCTTTGAGCTACTATAAGTTTGCAGTTTTTTCCCTTGTTTTTGTGGAACCGTATCATTCCCAAGCTTGAATTAAAAAAGTCCAAGGATTGATATTAGGTCAATAAAAAAAATTAATAAATGATACTAAATTTGATAGGTAGTAGTCTTGGGTTGTCCGACAAGCCAGTATCTGATTTGATAACGGAGAGAATAATGCAACGATTTATCATGATGCAACATTTTGATGATGCTCCACCACTCAACCTTTTTATGATGAGAAGTATGCAAGAGTTAGGGTAGAAAGTCATCTGCACTTGTGCACCAAAACTTTACCCAATTGTAATGTAAAATGGGCATAAGTTGACTAATTCTAAAATTATGATATAATACTATATGGAGTGTGGGGACTTCGAATGAGATGGGTAGAGATTTGTAGGATACTATGGAAACTAAGTATTACACTTGCAAAAACATAAATGGAAAATATAGAAAGACATTAACGAACTTTTTATGCTCATATATGTTGGAAAGATGAAGAATATAAGTAGGAAAAAAATAATGATGGATATAGATTTGAAAGATAAAATTATTTAGGTGCATATGATTAGTGGTAAGGTGATGGGCCTTAAAATAATTATTTGTGAGAACAAGTTTAAGTGTTAAATTCCTCAAATTGAATGAGAAGATTTATTGGAACATATTTATGTAAAATTTATTTGGAGATATAGGTTCTATTAGGATGGCCTATATGCAGAACTCTTGTTGGATAGACAATTGGGGATGAAAATTAATTATGTTGCCATCCTTGATTTGATAGTAGCATATATCTTGTAATAGTTAACACATTTTTATGCAATATAGGGCCTGCATCAAGTGTATTTCTGATTATTTTAGCTATTTTATATAATTACTAGCATTTTTTTTTCATACAGTGAGTTTTCATGAAAGAAATATATAATTATCCTTTTATTGAGGATTATTCCAGTTATAGGAGCTATCCTTTTGTTGGTTTTAAATTTAAATCAGGTTAAATTTCATTTAACCCGGTTTCTTTGAATGCTTGTAATTTGAATACCTGCATAAAAAAATATCCGTAATTATTTTTCATACACCTCTTCTGAAAACACACCAATAAAACAGTACTCCTGGCATATTTTTGAAGAACTAATTTTTGAAAAATGAAAAAATAATAATATTCTTACAGTTTCTATCAAACAATGTGGGTAAAGGTTTTTTCAAATTCTATTCCATCAACTTTACAAACCCTTGAGCTATAAGTTTGGCCTTTGCTCTTAATGATCACACAAGAAACATTATTTTATTTCTAGACACCCATTTGGTTAATTATTGAATGATTATCATGTCTAGGTGTAAACTCGCAAAACTTTCAAATTGATTTAATTATAATGCATCACAAGCTTTCTAAAATTATCATTTTTGCTTATTTAAATTATAATTGAGGAATAAAAAGACAAAGGTTTGTTACATCTTGTAATCAAGATCTCGTTCCATACCTTATGATGATTTGTTGAGGTGAATGCTATCTTGTATTGTCACTTCATAGAAAGTCTTTGATTGTTCACAACTTGAGTGAAGCTTTGCAGATCTTGTCAAGGAACTTCACTTGCAAAATTTTTTCTCATTCGGGATGCTTAGATTCTTTAACCTTTTCGCAATTTCATTATCTTTATGCAGTTGGGAAAGTGAATTGCTAGACTCATCAAAAGCAACATGTGCCAATTCTTCAACAATCAAAGTTATTTTGTTGTAAATGCAAAAGTGTTTTCTAGTTGAATAATAATAAAGAAAAAATATATTCATCGGAGATAACATCAAACTTACCTAAATTATCTTTACTGTTATTTAGAACAAACCTTATACATATTATGTGCCCTCTTTTGGGCTTAGGATTGTTCCATTGTTCATAAGGAGTTTCATTAAGAGTACTTCTAATCATAACATTGTTTAGCACATAGTAAATTATATTGACTGTTACCGGCCAAAAATAATGAGAAAGACTATGCTCCTAGTTATATCTCAATTAAGGTTCAATTTTTTCCATGAACAATCTTATTTTATTGAGATGTGCTAGAAGATGAAAATTTATGTGCAATACCTTATCACAAAAATTCTCAAACCATTCATTTTCAAATTCTCAATTCTGTTCACTTTGAATAGAAGTAAGATGAAAATATTTTTCATTTAAAAATTATTTATTAATGCATCAAAAGCATCATTCTCAAGTAAATCTGGCATAGTTGTCTACCATGACTTGGCAATATTGCTTGTCCCCATGATTTGGAGTTCACATCAGACTAAGCAATTCCAAAGAATTAGTTGATAAAAGTATGTTCTTAGCCCTAAGGATGTTTTGGATTGCTTCCCAAGTTGACAACATATCTATTTTTATTGAACTAAATGATAAGCGAAGTTTTGACAAGATCATGATATAAAACTTTATCGAAGTATCAAAACTAGCATATCCAAGCCGATGATATCATGGCCATGATTCATTCACATGAGAGATGTGACAAAGCCAATGAATCCATAGCCAAAACATCAATCTTAGGATGTTATCAATTTGTTTTCTAGAAACCAAAACATAATTCAATTATTGGATAAATTAATGTGTATCAAACAGAACATCAAAAGGTTACTAAGGAAAATTTGAACTTAACCATCAACCAAAAAGTCCTTTATCAAGTGAAATGTGTGATACTTACCAACTTTAAGAACACTTAAAATCCTTTCTTTCTAGTGTTGTTACTAAGGGGATGTTTGGCAACGGAATTTAGGGAGGATTTGGTATAAATTTTGCCAAACGAGATTCAAGAATTCTATAAATCTCACAGCGAGATAAATCTGTCATTAGCTGACTTTTGGCATAAATATGGGATTTACTAAATCTTGGGGTTCTACTGATTTACGGGATTTGGTTGAAGAAGCGCGCAAAAAGGAGAAATATTGTTACCTTTTCTGGGAGCGAGCTCCTGTCATCTTTGGAGACTCCCGTCATCTTCGATGGAGGCGAAGAATGTCATCGAGCTTTCGTGGCTTTTGATCGACAAGAAAGCAATGTCGTCAAAGGAGGTGAATTCATTCAAAACTCTATTTCACGCGGAGCAAGTGAAGTCGAACCATAACAGAAGAAGCATGTGAACTCAAATGAAGAATTGGAGAAGAGGAAAAGCAAACTACGGGCCTAAGGTATAAATAGTAATTAAAAATTTATTAAAATAACATTTAAATAATTGATGAAATGATTAATCAAGAAAATAATTAGTAGTATAAGTAATAAGTAATTAGTTATTTTAAATAATAATAAAATAATTAATTTGATAATTAAAAGTTTGATTAGTTATAAATGCTTATTAAAATAATATCTAAATAAATAAATAAATAATTAGCACTATAATTAGTAATTAATTCATTAGTTATATAAATATTTAATTAAATAATTAGTAGTGTAAGTAGTAATTAAATAATTACTTATTTTAAATAATTAATATTATAATTAGATAATCAATATTATAACTAATAATTAAATCATTAGTAAATTTGTTTAATTATTAAGCTATCTTCTAATTATTTTATTTATAATTATAACTTACTAACGATAAATAAAATTAGAATTAATAAGTAACTTTTATTTAAAACACATTAAATTTTATCCTTAGCCTCCATGATGACAGTGGGCTTTGGATCATTGTCTTTTGGAATTGCCCAATTACTTTTCTCATTAATTTTTCATTAGTAAAAGATTTACTCAAAGAAATAAGTCCATTGGTGATGGCGGTAAATCTCGCAAACATCTTGATGCATGCAATCATTTGCATCTCAAACTACTCATGATCATGAATAAGCATTCATCTTTAACTACTTGATTTGTCCCCTTGTAGTTGACCTCAAGTTCTGTTCGTATCTTATGAGCCATTTTTTTGACTACACGCATGAGTGAATTCACAAGGAGCTGTTCCACACTAAATATCACTAAGAGCTTTGGCATTTAGTTGTAATTAACACATTCCCCTCTCTTTTAAGTTGAGAGAGGAAACTTGGGATTTCTCTATAAGGCCAAACCCTACACTTTTCATGGGTTCAAGATCAATCGCTAATGACCTTTTTCTGGGCTAATTTACAAGCCTCATAAATATCTAAAGATAGAACAAGCTAGATAACTCTAACAAAAAATTTACAAGAAACAAACAACCAAAATAGATATTGCAAGGTGAGCTTTAAAGCATAACTATTTAGCCAAGAAAATCTATGTAGATATTTCAAAGACATGAGAAAATCCAAAGCCCAATGATAATCAAGAAATAACTAAGCTTCAACCATATCTCGGTGCACTTGCATTATAATCCCGTAAAGAGAGGTTATGAGGTTATGCAAATAAGAACTTTATTGGCTTATAGAGAAACCATGAGCAACGAAGCTTAGCTAAATGTGGCTTTGAGCTTATCAAGAAAAATAGAAAGATTGATGAGATTTGTAAAGAGTTAAGTTGCTATGACAATAAAGTCTTTCATATGGACACGATAAACTCATATAAAACTAAAAAACCAATGAAGTGTTTTGTGCTAATTTCATATTACGTGTATTCAATTACAAGAGTAGATGGTTAAATCAATTCAATTTCTAATCAAATGAGATCAAACTATCTTTTAGAAGCTACTAAACTAATAAAAATGAAGGTATGCTAGATTTGGCCAAAATGATGGCTAATGGGGATCATAGTTTAACATTGTGCAATTAAAGGCTCACCTCAATGTAATCAAAGAAAAAGGCAATTAAGCATATGCATCACGCTTGCCAATTGAGGCTTACACCTTAGTTGGGGTGAAGCATGCCTCAAGACACACCGAAGCACAATTTTTACGCTATTTTGAAGAGGTGTAAACTCAAAAATTAGAGTATAAGTAATTTTCAAATTTTATTTAAATTTATCATTTTAATATATAATTATATATTTGTTATACATAAACAAACTTAAACTTGTGAAGAAATGCATAACCTCAAACTCACAGCCACACACTACATAACACTTACGTTAGTATACAATCCTACTATGTGGCCATCACTACTTTGCCGCCACCGCTTCTCCTCCAACACCTCCCCTCTTGTTATTGGAAACTCATTTCCTTAATTTTAGTATGAGGGAGGAGATAAAATAGTTAACTACAATGATGATTTTAATGGAGATCCTCGAAGTGTTGAGAGTATAGGAATTTTAAATTTATGAATTATGATATTATACAACTTATTTATGTTGAACTGAGAGTGAGAGAGACTATTTTATTTAATGGTAGTTGTAGCCTTATATGACTTTTAATGGCCTTACATTGCTTTTTTATGAACTTACTTTAATATCTTACTTTGATGTTAGTATGTTATGTTTATTTCATATTTTTCATTCATTTAATGGTTTAATTCAGAGGTTTATGCTTCAAAACCTCTTGAGGCTTATGTCTTATCTCACAGAAAGAAAATGCCTCAATACATAATTGCACAATTTCAAATCTTGATGGGATAATAGGACAAGTAATTTGGAGATCAACCTTCTAAAAATAAAATTTGTAGCAATCCATCAACTTCATACCATACTAAGTTATGTGGGCAAATAGGCTAGCAGGTAATAAGTCATGGAGCTTAGTCGATTTGTTGCCAAATTGAGTGATTGACCTAAACCAAGTGGGGTGGTTGGTTTTATCCTAACATGGTTCGCAACTCTAATTCCAAATAGACCCAATTGACCTGATTCATTTAAAATTAATTTGTCAATGTAGCAAATCAACCTTTATTGGCCAAAAAGTTTTTTTCAAGTATACAAAGTGATCAAAACCAATATTTAAAAATTTAAAGGGATTTTATCATTAAAACATGTAAAATATGCATCATTATAAGCCACATGAAATAGCCATGGTTTAAAATTATACAATTAGAAGCTCTACTTAAGGCTCAATTCAATATAATTTAAAAAATGGCCAATAGGGCACAAGCGTCATGATTGCTAGATTAAGCTTATGCCTTAGTGGAGGTGATGCATACCTCAATGCAATTTTAAAGAGGCAAAGCATCTATATTTTCAATTTAGATAATTTTAAAATTTTAATTTATAAACTTTATATATATATATATATATATACTTATTTACTATACAACAATAGCATCAAGCCTTTTTTCCTGCCACGTGGGTTCGGCTAAATGAATCTATTTTTTCTATTTTGTCATATTAAGAATCAAATTTTAATTTAAATATAATAAAGAATGGTGATTTTTAATAATTTCTAGCCTAGTCTTTTTAGGTTTATATAAACCTTTCTTAACAAAGGTCAGATCTAATACATCTACTCTCCTAATCGGGTTATTAGGAGACCAATATTTTATGTGAACAAACCATCTAAGGTGACTCTCTCTAATTTTATGTTTCATAGGACCTGCTACATCCTTTTCATGTATATACTCGTTTTGCATTCTATCTCTAAAAGTAAGACCATTCATCTACCTAAGCATCCTCATCTCTACAACACTTAATTTTATGCTTCTTTTCATGTATCATAAAGCATTGCATTCTCATCACCATCGTATAGAATTTTCCCTTAAATTTGAGAGGTACTTTCTATCATGCATTTGGCCTGATGCTTTCCCCACTTCAATCATCCATCTTGAATTATACTAATAATATCTTCATCTATTCCACCATCACTTTGATCAATAAACCTGATATATCTAGAATATGTACTTTTTTAATGACTTGATTGCCCAAAGTTAAAATCCTCCCTAGATCCATTACTACTAAAATTACACTATGTATTCGATTGTAGATCAACAATTAAGCTTATTTACTATATTTAAATCATATCAAATTTGAGAAGAATTGCACGGCCTCAAACTCATAAGTGCATGTTGTCAGACCCTCAACTCGCACATGATCCTGCTATGTTTCCATCATTGTTGTTTCATAGTCGCAGTTATACTACCATTGCTTCTTCTTCAACACCTTTCTTGTGTTAAAAATCAATTTCTTTATTTTTAGTATGAGAGAGAAGAGAAAGTAATTAGCTACTATAATGATTCTAATGAAGATTGAGTAATGATATTGAGGAAATTTTTTGAATTTATAAATTATGATCGTAGATTACTTTTTGTTGGACTGTGAGTGAAAGAGACTATTTATTTAGAATTATTTGTAGCATTCTATGGCTTTTTATGAATTGTGTCATTCTATTTCATTTTATTTTAATATTAGTATTTTACTTATTATTTTATATTTTTTATTAATTAAATGAATTAATTTTTTGGTTTACACCTCAAAATGCTTAGAGGCTCATGCCTCACCTCACGAAGAGAAAATGCCTCAATACTCAATTGCACAATTTCAAATCTTGGAAATAACTTGCATGAAAAGCTTCGCAAATCAGTTGTGCTCATATTATTGGCCTAAAATAAAATCAATTATACACTTTAGATATGAACTTGAACTTAATTACTAGAATGTCTTGATTGCATTACTTTGGTTTCTCTTCAAGAGAATCTGACTTTAAACATTGATGAAACATGCTTAGTCCATTAATCATACTGCTTGCACTCATTAAGAACAACATGGGTTGTCAATGCTCCAGAAAATGGGTAAACTTTTATGGCGTGTAGCAGTCAAATTGAAATGAAGTTGAACTCAATTAGATTGGAAAATACCAACGACAATGATTATGCATTTGTGGTAGTAAACTTGCTTGAAATGTTCGAGATACCTTATACTCTCTGGAAACTCCTTTCTTCTTTCTTTTGCAAGATTGGTTTTGAGGCCCTTTGCTCTCATATGACTGTACAATCGGATGTCAGTACGTTTATTTTTCTTGACGGGTGTAAATATACTTAACACTTGAATCTTTTTAAACGTTTGTAGAGTCTAGCAGTAACTAGTGATAGCGTGCAGGTGAATGTATATTAGCAACTTCGTTACATGGGTTCATAATGATTTTATTGTCGTTAGGAGCTAGCAGAGTTCTCTATTGTGCCCTTAGGCTCACAATTAAATTGATGTTCAGGTCTATTCGGGCATGCTCTCATAACTGAAAGGTTTGAATACTGTCAGCAAAGTCCAATGATAACGATGATGACATGATTAAGCCATTTTTTGGGAAAAAAAAAAGAAACCTACTTACCCTGCTTATATTCAAATTAAGATTTGATTCAAGCTAGGGCAATGACTTGTGGTTTGATTTTAGCTTTTAGCTAGCATGATGGCCGTGGCTTATTTTAATTGGTTTACGTTGAGAGGTTTCTAAGCAGTTTTAAACATTGAAGAATTTACTGCCTCTCTTCTCACTGGATCATTTCGGTTTGAATAATTCAGGATTATTCTTGATTAGATTTTTTTTTTACATCCAGTTTCAAAAGCTAAATACATTCTCTTTGTGTTTGCCTTTCCTTGCCAGAGAGACACAACCGGTTTGGCTGCAGAGAATGCAGAACTTAGGCTGCGCTTACAAACTATGGAACAACAAGCCCAGTTGCGTGATGGTATGACCTATGCTGTTCTAGAAATTGAATTTGCTAGTATTTTTATTCTTTTAAATTATTTTTCATTTTATTCATGAACTTATCGTCTGGAATTCTGCTAATTGTAGTGAACAATTTTTAGTTTTGGCTAAAATGGGATGTTATTTGAGAAATTGGGTGCCTAAATTTTCTTGAAATATTTTAAATTTTTTTGGAAATAAAGTCGGATGTTTTAGTTAATAAGATTAAAAATCAGGAGAATTGAATTTGGACATAGCATGTATCTGACATCAAAATTTACAGGCATGTTTTCAAAATTTGCAGGCCAGAATGTTGTTCTGATATTTTTAGATATGATGGTTGAGGAAAGTAGCTTTTCTTGACTACTGTGAATTTTTCCTGTTATGCTCACTTTTTTTCCAAATGAAGATGCTATTTGGATGCTAATTTACCTGTCGTTATATTAAAAAGTGAAGACTCCCTAAAACTTTTGGCAAATGTGTTTTGTTGTTGAAAAATGAAACGAAACTCAAAGGAACAAAATATAAGATGGGTTATCAAGTAGAGTGATACGGCCTGCCACAAAGTAGTCCGAGATGCAGCTAGCAGCCAGTAACGACCCCATTGATGTCATCAGCCACCAACAAAGCTTAAGGATTTCATATTGGGATGGACTATAGCATGCGGGTGATTATGAGTTTATGAAAATCATAGTCTATTTTATTTTATTCATTTTTGCCTATGTTTGTTCAGGGAAGGACATATATCTTGTTTCTACCGATGCTTGGGGCTGAGGTAGGTAGTGGATTTAGGAGACGCCTATCTTGCCAATGATAAGTAGAAATTTTTGGTGAAGGGGTATAAGTGGCTATGGCCAGGACTTAGAAAATCAATGAAAGATCAAAATACCTTATCCTCTACTTCACCTTGCTTCGCTGTTCATTGTTTTATCCATTTCTCCATAGCCCTTCCCTCAACCTCCCCTCCCTCCCCAACCTTTGGAGTCATCGGCACAGTCAAAGTTACCGTTTATCCTAAACATTTGGGGCGTCTCGTCATTACTCACCCTCATTCATGACAGATCGCACATGCTCCCCAATCAATTTCAAAGCTCAGAAGCAAACTACTGAGGAACAACTCGATGAAATTAAAGAAATGTTACTGGGAATGAACCTTTGCCTCACCTTCTTGAGGTGAAACAAAGTCAGCAAACCTTCTCACCAATGGGGTTTAGCGAGACCTGACCACCAGATCCTTCCAACCCTGACAATTCCATGAAGGAGCTCGTTGCAGCTCCCTTTACAAACCACTGTGAATAGCCATTATAAGGTATGCCAGAGTTAACCTCAAATTCTGGATTCAAAATATTAAACACTACTACGGGTTTCACAATCTCTCAGATGTAGATAAGTTGACGCTCACCAGTCACCTCATTCCATATGGACTAGCCAAGGAGTGGTACCTTTAGTTATCTAAAACCAAACTGTTAACATCCTAGACGGGCTTCCTTTCATCCCTTTGAAATTGTTTTCGGCCATGTAAATGCCGCGAACTCCTCGGTGAACTTGTATAATTATTACTACAAACGACAACTATTTCCGGCTATCAATTGGAATTTGAAAAATTGTCCAATCAAATCAACGACATTGTCGAAGCGTTCCTTCAAAGTTACTTAGAATCTGGCCTTCGCTCTGTCATCCTTAAAGAGGTGCGTGTTCATTTTCTAGAAGCTAGAATGATCAACTTCCATTGTCTAGAAGCTTACGTGGAAGAACACATGATGTCGGTCCCTAATATCTGGAGCAATCAGGAATTAGATTCCTATTTCTATGACTCGCTTTTAAAAGAATGAAAAGTTAGTTTCAATTGTAAGAGACTAAGAGCTTGAAGTCATATTGACATTTGATTTTAAACATGATGATGCTAATGGGGAGGATTATAATAATAATAGTTTCAAATCATGTTAACAAAAGGATTAGTGAAGTAGAAATTGCTTAGGGGTTGAATAACGATTATGATACTAAATTAGATTAATTAATCATAAGATTAATTGAGCAAAAATTGATTAGGTTAATTAATTCAGTTTTTATTAATGATTAGATTAAATATAATTTATTTATGATAACAAACCCAAAAAATTAAATATTAACCAATAATTAGAATATCTAATAAATTAAATTAATTTAATTAATTAAGGTTTTGTTATGCAAATAAAATCATTAACTTATGATAAAGGTAAACAATTAGTTTACTTAGTTATGGGGAGATCAAATGATACGTTGGTTAAGATATTTTGGGATTAAGTATCGCTTTGTTATACAATAATGAAAGTGATAAAGAATTTTAATTAGTCATACTTTATTAAAATAAAAAATTAGTTACTTAAATTAAGTATGTGTAAAGTTTGTTTGGTTAGTTTGTCATTCGTTAACCGCTAGAATAATAAATTTGTTTTAATATTCATAGCATATAATGTACTAATTAGTCCAATTAGGTTTATTTTAATTAATTGAAATAGTTAATTTTATTATGTGGATATGATTTAATGATCAGGATATTAAATAATGGCCTTAGTAATCTGGTTGATTATGTACTAGTTAATGATTTAAGTATTACCTTAGCCTAAGCTATGTGAAACTCATTATATCTCAACTACAAGAATTGAGTTCATATAATACAAACCGCCACTTTTTTTTTTTGAAATATATTAAAATTTCCTTCCAGTATTCATATCCAACTGCTTAAACTGGCCCAAAATTTGGGAAAATTTTCAGGCTAAGATATTCAGAGGTCAGATTTGATCTAAAATTTATTGAATTTAATTTAAAATAAATACAATATATATTAGATGACGACGACGACAACAACAACAACATCAAACCTTTATCCCACTATGTGGGTCGACTGCATGAATCTTTTTTCTTCATTGTGTTCTGTTAAAAGTCAAATTCTCGTTTAAATCTAATAAAGAAATATCATTTCAAATATTTTTCAACCAAGTCTTTTTAAGGCTATCTCTACCATTCTTAACATAAGTCAGAATTTATGTCATGATTATTTTACAAATTTTACGTTGAAAGTCGACTACATAATGCAGCCTTCCATTTTTTTCATCTAGGACTTGGGACCTGACAACGACGGTGTTAAATACAATATATGAGAAATAAATCAAAATTAGAATATACTCATTTCATCAATAGTTTTACTATTCATTTGACAAAAAAAAAATTATGAACTTTATTTCTTTCCTCCTATAAAATATCTTTTAATTCTCACAGTCTCATTTTCATCTCTTTACAGCACTAAATGAAGCTCTAAAGAAGGATGTTGAGAGGCTGAAGATCGCAACTGGCGAAACATCTAACACTGCTGAATCCAACGATGTGGGACTAAATCCCTTGACCTTCAATCCCCCGTTCTTCCCAGTCCCGCAGCCACAAACAAGCTTCCCTCTCCAATCCCTTCAGCTACCACCGCCTTCTTTCCATCAGCTTCAACCCACTACCACAAACTTCCCATTGCTCTCTTACTCACATCCCCTTTCTGATACAATTCCTCACGACCATCTTGGAAGACTTCGGCGATTAGATATCAGCAAAGGTCCTCTCATTGTTAAATCAGAAAGCTCCATATCAGCTGGCGAGAGCAGCAATATCTTTTGATTAAAATAATGCTTCATGTAATGGGCATCATCGATGTTTATAATAACCTTGACATCCATTCTTCTTCCATCATTATTACTCTTATTTTGGCCATTTGTTTTATTTTTTAAGGCAATATTCATCTATTGCATTACAGTTGACATATTTATTCATAAACTATGTTGACATATTTATTTAAACTATGGCTCCGACATGTTCGTTTGTGGGTTTTGTTTTGTGTTGTTCTCATGTTTTTGATTTGATCATTTTTCTTGGTTGTGTTGCTGTGGTGATTCAAGTTCCATACTTGAAAAAACAAATCCTCTTGTGTTTAGATTCTTTTGGTTGTTAACTTGTCCAAAAAATTGGACAGGATATTTTCATATGCTGTTGGATTTATTTTAAGATAAATATAATATAAGAAAAATTATGCTTGAATCTGATGCATGATCATATAAATGTATATGGCTTTGAGATATTTTAATGAGCTTGATGTTTGTTTGAAGTAAGGAATGTTCCATCCTCTTGTAAGAATATTTATAAATTTGTCCCCCATGAAAAACTAAGTTATTTATGTATTTCCAAGATACCACCCAAGTTAGAGCAGCTAGTTTATCGAATTTTATTCCTTATTGTTTTCTTTTGAGGCTACTTCATGAGTGTGTCTTCCTAAGATTGTTGTTATAAGTAATATTATTTATATAAAACTTCATTGATAATTTAAATAAAACTTTGAAAGATATATAATTTGAACATTCTAAAGAGTTTAGATCCTACGAGGAATTTTAATCATGAGGATAAACTTATTCAATAATGCTAATAATTTCTTTGGCATGATTCTTTTGATCTCCTCTATCATCAGGCTTATGATCAACAACTTACTTTTTTTAATAATGACCTAAATGTCCTTATTGAATTGTGCATTCAATCTCATCATTTAATTGAAAGCATTTTCAATTGAATGTCCCTTTGATTGATGAAGGTTACAATATTGAGTATGGATTCTACCCGTTGGATTTCTTGGAGGTTTTGGCCACTTGAGATGTTTAGAATTTTAAATCTATATTAGAATGTAAGCCCTTGATGTATTTAAAAGTGTATATCAGGTGATCATGGGTGAATTTGATGAGAATTATTTTTTGACTTCTCTTGCCTTTTTTTTATTGTATAGGTTGATTAAATTCTTGTGAATATTTTTTGTTTGAAGTATGATTAATGCTCAAATTTCTTTCGAAGAACATTGATGGCCTCATATGTAGTTATTTGAGCTTCCATTCAATAAATCATATATAAGAAAATAGTCTCTCACATTAATGATGAGTAGAATGGTCCAAGTCGAAGGCCTTCTAGAAATCAGGATCTGCTCCTAAAATTTGCTGAGTTTCAAAAAAAAAAATCTTTTGAAGTACTTCTGCAGTGTTTCTCCCTCATTTTGATGAATCCAAAAAAGATGAGAGGAGTCTTTGATAATTCTTCAATTAGCAATAAATTATTCAACACAATGTTTAGCAAGGTGGGTGAAGTTGTGGATAGTATTTCTTAAGAGTGAGTAGAATCAAGTGCAAGCTTGACCCTTGAGAGTTGTAGGGAAAACCTAAAAAAGAAGTGCATCATAAATTTTTAGGATATGTATGTGTTGACCTCATTTTTGTGTAAGATTAAAACTCTAATATCAAAACTCTAATCTTGAATCAAATTCAAGATCAAATCCAAGCCACAATCCCAAATTCAAAATCCAATGTTCAAAATCAAAACCCAAAACCCTTTAGAATTTTCCTTATTTTAGGGAATTTACCCTTGATTAAAAATCCTATCTAATGACCTTGGAATCATTTTTTGTTAGTTGCATTTTAATTAGGCATGTCCCAAGTGTCTTTCATATCATTTTGAAGGCATTCATAGCTCTCTAAATCTCAAAATCCAAAGCATGTTCCAAGCATGTAAAACCTTCAAATATTTATAAAGCATGCCACAAGACTTTGCATCTTATGGAAAATCACCTTGGAAACTTTCTCAAATTCATTGAATATGTTCATAATAATTTTCATTTTGATTTGAATCTCATTGAAACCTTGGTGGACCATGGTTGGCCAAGAAAACCAATAAACCTAAATCACCTAAATCAAACTTGTCATAAACTTCAACATGACTCAACCAAACCAAACTTTGAAACCTCTTCCAACATACTCCAAATCTCATTTGGAGTGGGTTGGACCCAAACCTAATTAAACCTTGGTCAAGCTTGGTTGACCAAGTCAACTATAGTTGACCAATGGAACCCTTGAAAAAACCCTAAACATGTAATTCATATATGGAGACCTCGCCATAGTATGAGACCTCTTCCAACAAGTTCTAATGCCATTTGGAATGCGTTGGACCCAACTGCAACCACTGGTCAAATTTGGTTGACCAAACCATACATAAACATTTTGAAATCCAAATCCAATGATCCAAGCTTTGCCAAACCCAATTAACCCCATAGGACTGTCCATTGGGTCCCTGGGAATCTATCATAGGTGGCCCAACCCTTTCCATCAGCCAAAACCAAACCCAAATTAAATTGGCATAAGCTAATCCCTACATTGTATGCCCCTTAATCATATGCATCTAACATGTTTACCCTAGCCCATGATTGATATATATATATATATATATATCTTCTAAGATTTTAATCCTTCTAAGAGTTTTATGTATCTGTATCTTTTGAGGTTTTTAGTCTTTTAAAATTTTTAGTATACTTGTACCTTTTAAGGTACTTAGCCTTCTTAATTTGTTGGTGTACCTATGTCTTTTAAGGTTTTTTTATAATTTATAATCCTCTAAGATTTTTATCTTCTACAATCTTTGAATGAGTGATGATACTATTAATCACTTGCTCTCATGGAGACTTTCTAGTAAGGACCTTATCCACTACTAGCATTCCTTCAAGGCTATTTAATGGGCAGATCTTAGGTTATGAGTGGAGACCTTGTCTATCATTTTTCCTAATGGGATCTTTCTATTAAGGACCTTGTCCACTAATAGTTTTCTTTTGAGGCTACTTCATGAGTGTGTCTTCCTAAGATTGTTGTTATAAGTAATATTATTTATATAAAACTTCATTAATAATTTAAATAAAACTTTGAAAGATATATAATTTGAACATTTTAAAGAGTTTAGATCATTCGAGGAATTTTAAACATGAGGATAAACTTATTCAATAATGCTAATAATTTCTTTGACATGGTTCTTTTGATCTCCTCTATTATCAGGCTTATGATCAACAAATTACTTTTTTAAATAATGACCTAAATGTCCTTGTTGAATCACACATTCAATCTCATCATTTAATTGAAAGCATTTTCAGTTGAATGTCCCTTTGATTGATGAAGGTTACAATATTGAGTTTGAAATATACCTGTTGGATTTCTTGGAGGCTTTGGCCACTTGAGATGTTTAGAATTTTAAATCTATATTAGAATGTAAGCCTTTGATGTATTTAAAAGAGTATAACAGGTGATCATGGGTGAATTTGATGAGAATTATTTTTTTGACTTCTCTTGCCTTTTTTTTATTGTATAGGTTGATTAAATTTTTGTGAATATTTTTTGTTTGAAGTATGATTAATGCTCAAATTTCTTTCGAAGAAGATTGATGGCCTCATTTGTAGTAATTTGAACTTCCATTCAATAAATCATATTAACATATAAGAAAATAGTCTCTCGCATTAATGATGAGTAGAATGGTCCAGGTCGAAGGCCTTCTAGAAATCAGGATCTACTCTTAAAATTTGTCGAGCTTCAAAAAAAAAAATCTTTTGAAAGTACTCCTATAGTGTTTCTCCCTCATTTTAATGAATCGAAAAAAGATGAGAGGAATCTTTGAGAATTCTTCAATTAGCAATAAATTATTCAACAAAAAGTTTAACAAGGTGGGTGAAGTTGTGGATAGTATTTCTTAAGAGTGAGTAGAATTAAGTGCAAGCTTGACCCTTGAGAGTTTTAGGGAAAACCTAATAAAGAAGCGCATCATAAATTTTTAGGATATGTATGTGTTGACCTCATTTTTGTGTGAGATTAAAACTCTAAAATCAAAACTCTAATCTTGAGTCAAATTCAAGATCAAATCCAAGCCACAATCCCAAATTCAAAATCCAATGTTCAAAATCAAAACCCAAAAGCCTTTAGAATTTTCCTTATTTCAGGGAATTTACACTTGATTAAAAATCCTATCTAATGACCTTGGAATCATTTTTGGTTAGTTGCATTTTAATTAGGCATGTCCCAAGTGTCGTTCATATCATTTTGAAGGCATTCATAGCTCTCTAAATCTCAAAATACAAAGCATGTTCTAAGTGTGTAAAACCTTCAATATTTATAATTCATGCCACAAGACTTTGCATCTTATGGAAAATCACCTTGGAAACTTTCTCAAATTCATTGAATATGTTCATAATAATTTTTATTTTGATTTGAATCTCATTGAAACCTTGGTGGACCATTAGGGTTGGCCAAGAAAACTAATAAACCTAAATCACCTAAATCAAACTTTTCATAAACTTCAACATGGCTCAACCAAACCAAACTTTGAAACCTCTTCCAACAAACTCCAAATCTCATTTGGAGTGGGTTGGACCCAAACCTAATTAAGCCTTGGTCAAGCTTGGTTGACCAAGTCAACTATAGTTGACCAATGGAACCCTTGAAACCCTAAACATGTAATTCATATATGGAGACCTCGCCATAGTATGAGACCTCTTCCAACAAGTTCTAATGCCACTTGGAATGCGTTTGACCCAACCGAAATCGCTGGTCAAATTTGGTTGACCAAACCATAATAAACATTTTGAAATCCAAATCCATTAATCCAAGCTTTGCCAAACCCAATTAACCCCATAGGACTATCCATTGGGTCCCTGGGAATCTATCATAGGTGGCCCAACCCTTTCCATCAGCCAAAATCAAACTCAAACCAAATTGGCCTAAGCTAATCCCTACATTGTATGCCCCTTGATCATATGCATCTACCATGTTTACCCTAGCCCATGATTGATTTAGGTCAGCCAATTTCTATCACACCCCAACCCAATCAAGATAGGTTCCATTGTGTTGAGTTGTGTCAGGCTATTCTCAATATTTGGTTTTGGAATGTTCAGATTCACTTCCAAATTATATATCAATAAATTATAAACTACAATGCTACTAAAATATCTAAGTACTGAAAATAATTCATCAATAAGAT